TTCATGTAGTCAACAATGGAACTGGTAGACACATACTGTCTCCACATCGTCAATTTTCCAACTACCTCGTGTATCATTTGTGGAGAAATCTGAAAATTTTCGAGTTTAAACAATTTAAATATAACATAACATTAAATTAGCGTGTGGTCCCGCTATAGAATGGACCACTTTCCCGTGGGTATCGTAAGAGGCGATTAAGGGAACTTAAAGGTCGAAGGATGGGCAACATCATCCTCTTAACACTTAAAACAGTGGGTAATATACCCGCTGGCATTTATTATTATCTTTTTTTTTTATATCTATGATTGTTTTACTTCTCATGTGAAATTGTTTTATGGCTAATAAATGTTTACTATTCTATTAATTTATACAGTCCGTATCCCTTATTATTAATTTTGCAATGTTGACGCTTCTACAGTCAATTTAACTAAGTTATAACCGATCTTTTTGAAAAGACAACCGAACAAAAGAATATGGGGAATGTCAATCACACAGATAAATATTTTAATGGGATATACATTCTGTTATTTTTTATAAAACAAAACGTCAATTGTCTTTACAAACGATGTGTCGGATAAACTTCCAGGAAAAACCGCCCATAGGAGCGCTATACGTCATATAGGACAAAGGAAATACAATATCAATCATACCATACGTTATATTATCCTTACAAAATACTTCTAAATATGACATTTAAGGCTAACCGTATGCTAAGATACAGGCAATATAATTCTACGCAGCACAGAGTAGAAGAATTGTATTTATGCAAAATTCAATAAATAATATAACATATTTTTTATTACAGATAAGTATCAACCATTCTTGTTAACAATTGACTTAAACTATGTCAGTAGAAACAAAACAAATCATTTTATGATTCCTATAATAATTTTGTCTCACAATGAGAGGGTTGAGCTTATCATATTTATTAAGTAATCAAAGTTAACTGGAAGTGATCACTATACAGCGATAAAGCCGCCCGTTGTTGTCTCTTTATCTTGCTGTTGTGTAACTAAGTTTATGTAATTAATTATTTATTTTATTTTTATGCGTATATTTATTTATACTTTAACATATATTAAAATATATTTACAAGACGGACTTAATGCCTGATGGCATTCATTCTCTACCAGTAAATCGTTACGCTAAAAGGTTACGTGCATATTGTTAATTTTTATAATCTGTATCATTCTTTGAAAAGAACGATAAATAATTTTCATTCATTCATTCATTCATTCATCAACCTGAGACTCGCCTATTAGAAAAATAAGGTCGCCAATAGACATAAACAGTACCATAGATATCATAGAATAAACTGCAAAACTCCCATTTCTATAGAACATGGAATTAAAATGCCTATGTTAAACAGTGGACTCTCAAATGGCTATGATGATGATGAAGGCACAAAAATTGCTATGACTCCGTAATCTGTACTTTCACTGCTATATCCCATGCTTTAAACTGAAATACAGCCAACAAGCACGACTGCTTGTCGACTGAAACATGAGAGTTTTGAGAACAGTACCCATGCAGGTACTAGTAACTCGCTCCGGCTTTACAAGGGTTTTTTTTTTAATAAATCACAGCCTATATAACTCGCTGATAATGTAGCTTTCTATAGATGAAAGAGTTTTTAAAATCAATTAAATCCTTTTTGAGTTTATCTTTTACAAACAAAAAATCAAATGTATCCTCTTTGTGTCATAATTTCAGCCGATAACTGTCCACTGCTGGACATAAGTCTTTCCTACAAGAGGAGTTTTGCTAATAATCGCCACGCTTGACAGGCGGGTTAGCAACCGCAGTTAGGCCTTTAGAGATGTTTTAAGAGAGATGCTGCTGCCCATCCCTCGACCATAAATCCCTTAGTCGCCACATCCATATGTGTCGTAAGAGGCGAAATGGCTTTCCCATGAAAGGAAGGGGTGGCAAATTCTATGCTGAAGCACACACTTTGTGGTAATAATACCTCACCCGGTTTATAACATATGATGAAGAATCTTGTTTGCTCTAGTAAAAAAGAAATTAATTTAATCTTTTATTCCACAAAAAACACCGACTCAATCGTGGCAAAACCAGTTTTTTGTGTTTATTTCTGTGGGACCCATTTGAAAGTACTCATATGTCCTTTTAAATAAAGAAAGAATTTTCCAAATTGGTTTATAAACGATGGAGTTATAAATACAATTGAATTGAGAAAATCCTCTTTTTTTAAGTTAACTGACTTTAAAAAGTCTTCAAAGTTAACTAACTTAATATGTTAGTTTATTTAAAATAAATTAACACAAAACTGAGCTTCCTATGGCAACTCAGCATTTTTAAAGAGTTCCATTTCCTCTTTCAAAGTCAGTTGAAAAAATGTTTTTTTACAATTAATTTAAACTCAAAATTCTACCAAGTTCCAACAATACCATACTCGTAAATACCAAAAACTTTGGACTGGCGGCTCGTTGCTCTGAACAGAGTTATCGGGTCAATTCCACTAGTTCCATTTAGAATTCGCATAATTCATTGCTCTTTGTGACACCGGCACGAATTACTACACGTTCCTAATTTTTTTTACGATTTGGGTATGAAATTTCATTCTCTAGTGCAAATTTAAGTAGACCTTTTAAATACGAAGTACGTAGTTACAAAATTTCAACGATAAAGTTGTATTCAAATAATTTTTAGTTATTGCCATATCCATTTATATGTTCGTACGATCGCAGGAATGTACACGTACATAGGTATAAGGTATAACATACATATAAGTATCAGTATGGCAACTCGACGTCAGGATTTAACCGCAAATTCATACAACAGCCAAACGTAATAACATATTTATTCAGATAGTTATATTCTGCATATATAAAACTTTTTAATGACACTTGATTTAAATGGAAGATGTAAAATATAATAAATTGTTAGCTTTCTGTTAGTCGCGACCTAGAATTGCCAAATGCAACAATTACGCTCATAATTTGTTTTAAAGGCAACTCTATGTTGGTGTATAGATAAAAGAATGAACTTCAATTTAGTGTGTTTTATCAATAAAAAACAATTCCCTATAAATACAGGAACATCGTTTAGAAACAGCACTTTTGATTATGGCAACCCTTACTTACAGCCATTTTTTATAAGTAACTATATGTTACCGTGTAGAAAAAAGAATAAACTTCCGTTTGGTGTAAATTTTATCAAAAAGCATGATGTAACACATCATTTACCAAAATTACCAAAATTGTTCCCTTTTTTCACCTGGCAACCCTAAATTACAGTGAATTGAGAGCAAGCAACCCGGGCAAGTGCATGCATTTTCGCTCATAATTCATTTAAACACAGTTTCCTTGTAAAGTTAATACCTGCGAAATTCAACAGCGGGACCTTGGGCTAAGATATGTTATTTCAGAATAAATATATCATATAATAAATAGTCGTATATTATAACAGTAGTATATTTAAATTGATTGATTTCCGTTGTCATTTGTGGGTCAATTACTTATTCATATCACGTGATTGCAACTGTTTCCACCTGTGACCCTAACATGCAATGTACACAATTAATGGTACCGCAACGAGGATCAATTGCTCGTGCAATCAGTGGTAATGAGCTCGCAAGGTATATGTTTAAAGGTGTACATTGTGGATTGGATGAGAGATATTTAAATGGAAAATAAAATTTTGAGTTTTACTCCATAAGTGGGGTAAAGAATGTTTATTGTAAACATAAGTGATACAGAAATACCCATGAAAAAATTGGTACAATATCTACCTCTGGTAATCCTTACTAATATTATAAATATGAAACTGAGATTTTTTGTTTTTTTGTTACTTCTTAAAGTCTTAACCACTGAACCAATTGCTACAAAATTTGCTGGAGAAATACATATGCTACTTTTAAAAATGCCAGAATTTTATAATTACTCTTCTTCATCCAAAGATTACCTGGAAGAGATCGCTCTTAGCAATAAGGCCGTCCACTGTTTTCTCAGTGTAATATTTTCTTGTAATTGTTTGTATTTATAATAAGTTTACTATTGTAATCTTATGGAGAAAACAATAGTGTCTATCTATATACCAAATTCATGAACAAAGTCGCGAGTAAATATTTCTGCACTCACCTCGCACCATGCTCTCTGTATTTCAGGCAGTTCTCCAGAAGTAAGCAAGGAGTTCGTATTGATAAATAAAGGCGACAGCATCATACTTCTTGAGCCAATTTGGTTGCTCTTCGATACTATACATTGTTATAAACATAAGATTTTCTTAGAAATACATACGAGTACACAACATTTTTTTATCTACAGGATTATATAAATATTTTAAGTATTTTTCTATCGTTTGTCTAATGCCACCCACTACCCATAACACCATACCACCCATAGTAGAAAATCTCCTTATTTTCTTAATAGATAACGTAGCATAAAAAATTCTGTGGAATTTATTAGTATATATCCCAATGAGAGATAGGGGTAGGCAGAAATAATGGAACGCCAAACGCATTCATCGCATCATTCACATTCATCCACATTCATCGATCAATTTATAGAAGGTTGCGAGAGCTTTTAACTTGGCCCTTTCGTAATACATCACCTATTTGATTGAGAATGTTCTTTCCGAGGTAATCCCTATCAACGTCACAGCTAAAAAAATCAGTATGTCAAAGTTAGACTGGGACCAAAACTTTATTCTTAGATTAGGATCAATACAGGAATAAATTTCATTTAAAAATAAGTGCAGTGTTACACGATATTTATTTTCGTTTATACGAAAATAAATATCATGTAACATACGCACGAACGCCTAATACTGTCCTTAAAAAATACAAGAGTTAACTCCTTCGTAGTCTTACCTGTAAATAAATTTCGTATCTTTTTACCAGTTTTTTTTCTTTTTCCAATTTTCTTCACTTTATTACTCCGTGTCTTAATATTCCGTCTCTTTTGTTTATTCTGGAATCTAACACAAAGAAACGCCCATTCGTTCTAATCTCTTATAATTTAAACGACAGAAATACAATAAGCAAGATTTAATAACAAAACTTTGAACAATTTACAAAGCGTATAAAAGTCTCAAAACAAAATCTACCTTCGGCGGCAACAACGATGCCCGCAGTGCTTACAACCCAGGATTCTAGAACTGCTGGTAAAGATAGTGGAGACTGACAGATCCCGTATTTCTTTTCTCTCCCTTAACCTCCGTTTTGGGGCTCTCCGGAAAACTTGACGTCGTCCTAGCGAACGCCTCTTTTCCACTCTCCCATTACGTCGTTTACCACGTTTCTTCCTCTTAGGCTTCTCTCGTTTTCCCTTCTCCATTGGAGGTTTTGGGATCTCGGGATTAACATCTGCCGTATCTATTCTACTTTTTACAGAATCCGAACCGGTCGTGAAAGATTCACTAACGGATACGCCATCGTCATGTCTATCGTATTTGCCTCTTTCTTCATATTCTCTTTTCCCGTCATACAAATCCTTCTCGGAATCTCTTTGGCTTTCTTTTTTACTTGAGGATGGTTGATGGTTCTCTTCCTTCGCGTTTTCATCGTCCATCGCCAATTTCTTCCAAATGTAACTGATAATTTTGTATTGTTTAATTTATAAAATCACTAAGAAAATATTGTAAACGCGTGTGTCAAAACACATACACGTTTGTATTCTTTTGTTTTCTGCTTCTTTTCTTTTATCATATGCCAGTGCCAGTAAATAGTTTTTAGTCTGATTTAAATATTTCATTTAGAATTGTAAGTACTCTTTTTATTTATACTAGGTAATAGAATAGAAATAATCTCCATTCGAATAGACTTGTTTACAAACTCATTAAATCGACATTTTTTTATAATTCTGCCGGGTTTAGAGTGTTGTTACCTGCTGACAAAATCCACAAGAAACTCAAACAGTTACTGTTTGCAATTTATATAATCTTTATTGCACTTGATAAAAAAAGAAACAGCGATTAGTGATTTAGTTATTGACAAGATAATTTTTCATTTGTATTGGCATTGAATCCATTATTAGCGTTTAGTTCATTATCTAATGAAATGCCATATAGATCGTTTTTGATTTCGAAAAATTAAATAACATAAAATACAGAGATCATTAGATCCCTCCTTTGGTGGTCAAGTACTTAATACTAGACATATTGATTAAGGATAGTACCTACAACTAAATACTTGCGTAATATACAAATATAATTAAGAACAACTTCAATTGTGGCATAACTAGTTATTTTAATTTCACAGCTAAACAACTGAACCGATTTTGATAAAATTTCTATGCGACCATTCAAATAAAAAAAATAATTTTCCAAATCGATAACAATCATAAAATCGAATAAAAAAAATATAACCGATTTGACAACCTCCTTCTTTTTAAAGTCGGTTAAAAATACGTACTAATATACAAATTGATAATCCTACCCATGTACAAAGCACTGTAAAGCTATTTTTAGTAAAAATTAGCTGCTCGCCCCGCTTCGTACGGGTGTACCAATGAATGTAAAAATAATGAGACCTAATCTCCCCTTTACAGTTACTGTCTTCTATCTCATTAACCCACTTTTTTATATAATTATTTTTTAGTTTCCGTACTGTAGATTTTTCAAACATTTTCCTTCATACCAGCTTTGTCCTGATTATTACAAAAACCGTTTTTATTAAAAAGAATTACTAAAGAGCAGTGGCCATTCCAAAGCGATGCGGGTGTACCAGTCGCTCTTATTAAATAGTAAGGACGCCTTGTTAAATTAGTGTATCTGAAATTTGGCAATTGATTTTTATTCCTTTGATTTGTTTTATATAAACATCTGCTAAATTTTTTATTAGCTCACCATTATGTATCATTTAATATATAGCATAATACTATGAAGTAATTCAGTTGACACTAATATTGTATTTAAGACAAGAAAAATGTATTAGAGCACTGTCTAATACACATTATTGTGTCAATTGTAAACCATTGTTTACCTTTACCTTCTATTTACCTTTTTTTTATGTAACTTAGAATGGCAAACAAGCTGACGACCCACCTGATGGAAAGTGGTAACCGTCGCCTATAGACATGAGCAGTACTATGGACATAACAGAGTATACTGTTTCGCCCATGATACCCACCATACGTTGCCATTCCTGAGGACTCAGATATTTTTCCTTTGTACCCTGTAAATTTACTGCCATATCCCACCCCTCAAACCAAAACATAGCCATGGAAACACAACTGCTTCACGGTAGAAACACGAATAGGACCTTACCTGTTTGAAATGTGTATTTTTGTTAAGAAACAAACAATTATTTATGAAACAAACAGACATTGTAAGCCGCAATAATAGACATAAAAATAAATTACATGTAAGCAACGTCTAAACGTGTTGAGTACTAACGCTTACTGCATAGCAGTACTATCCGTATTGCCATGCAATAAGCGATGCATGAGTAACCATTACTTGAAAGTATCAGGAATTGTAATAATGTATTCTATTAAAAAAAAAAACCGCTTGTTAAGCTATTTCTGGGTAAATGTTATTACTTAATAAATGAGTTCCTAAAAGATAAAAAAATTATAAATGATAAATACTCGTAGATACAATTTTCATTATGTTACAGCCTTTTTAATTAATTGTGTATTTTTTTATTGAATTTATATTATTATTGAATTGACATGATTAGATAAATAGTATACAAAAAGTGACAAAATATAATTGCAATATCAGAATCAGCCATTAACCGTCCACTGCTGAACATAAGCCATGGCGAAATTTTGCCAGTAGTTGCCACACATAGCAGGTAAATTGTCAACCGTAGTTAGGCTTTGGAGGTGTTTTAAGAGGGACATGGCCGCCCGTCCCTCGCCCTCCCTTAGTCGACTCTTACGACAACTACGGAAAAGGGAGAGGTGGCTCAATCTATACCGGAACCATACGGCGAATTATTATTGCAATACGTATGTGTAATTCTAATGAGTTTAATATTTTTTTTTGTATAATAAGTTTTAATATTTGCACACCTATATTGTGGCAGAAAAAGATTGGACTATAATTTTCTTCTGATGTAACACATATAAAAATGTACCTTATTTATTTATTAATTCTTTATTGCACAGTAAAACTTTATACAAATGGCAAGCTTAATGCCATATGGCAATCTCTACCAGCTAACCATTAGGTAAAAACAGAAAGCGTATGAAGGGCAGATGTGGTGAAAAGTATGTGACAAGTTATTCTAGCAAATAAATGAATTAATAAAATACTATAATTTTATATACAGGTGCTGGTGTGGTCTAAGCAGAGCGGCTCACGGCGCAAATGTGGCAGTGGCAGCGGCGGGAGAGGCGTGGGTGCCAGCAAGGCACACCCAGGCGGCACCCACCGACGCGTACGGCACTGTCGAATTCCAAGGCGGGCCACACCCCACGAAAGCACAGGTACAGTATTTTGGAATATTTTTTTATATAACTTAGAATAACAAATTGCCAAGGACATAAAGTAAAAAAATAAACATCATAAAATACTCTGTAACGCCTCGAGCACCCTCATTCCTTGCCATAGCTATGCATAACAATGACTCCGTATCACATACATTATAGATAAAAAAAAACTTAAAGTACTGTTATATATTCTATGGTATCACTGTGAAACTACTTGTCTTGATCTTACAAAAGCTATTTATTGATAATATTCCACCACGATGATACTCCTTATTTTTTTACTACTTACCCACAACTTGATCTACATGGATCAAGTTGCGGGTAAGTAGTAAAAAAATACTATAAACTATACACTTAGATATGTTGATTGCCCATGATAAAAGCAACCTATGTCCTTCACTGTCATAAATTAAATTTAGACCTATGCCGAATTTCATAATTAGATAAGTCGTTAAGGTGTAAACGGATAACAAACAAAAAAATCAGTTTTACATTTATGCGAGACATATTATATTGAAAGATATATAAGTATGGCCTATTTTCATATTTAATTACGTGAATATCATCAGCATTATCCTATCTGCCATTATCTGTCCCTATTGAGTGGTTTTGCCAGGAGTTGCCATGCTTGGCAGGCGGATTGACAACCGGAGTTAGGTTTTGGTCGTGTCTTAAGGCTAGCCATCTTTTGCCCATCCCTTGAACCATTAAATTCCTTTAACCGCCTCTTACGAAACCCACAAGAAAGGAAGGAAGAAACCTATTCTATGCCGGATCCACATGGCGTTATAGATCTTGTTAAATACAGACATTTCCATTTCACGCAACGATATTATTAAAGGTTCTTTTTTTGTTGCAGTATGTCCGTCTTTCTCACGACACCCGTCCCGAGCTGATAGTCCAACTGCTGACAAGAGAGTGGGCCCTAGACAGGCCGAAACTCCTAATCACAATCCAGGGTGGAAAAGCCAACTTCGATCTAAAACCTAAATTGAAGAAGGTTTTGAGGAAAGGCCTTTTGAAAGCTGCAAAGACCACTGGTGCTTGGATTTTCACTGGAGGAACTAACACGGGTAAGTCAAATTTTAATGTAAAATTAAAAAGTTTTAAATATACAAAAGGCTTGTTATAACTAATTTAAAACACTTGTTCCTAATCTGCTGCCATAATTTATATTACATTTCTCTACTAACATTAAGGATCCTAGTAATGCATATGTGGATACATAGTATAACACTATCAATACAGGGGGAAAAGGGATTGTTAGTAATGGAGACTGAGAATCCCATTGCTAGCAATATATCCAACCAGATCGACTTCCTCGCGGTTCTCCTTGGAATCTGTCATGGTTAATTCCTGATGAATTCATCATGATGGGCTAACTGGCCTGTTTTCATTCTCATCTATCACCCTTCACTGGTGCTCCGCCAGCGTATCCCGTTAGCGCAGGCGGGGTTACCATACTATTTTCACTCATCAAAAAAAAAACACTATCAATACAAACCTATATCGTTTATAAATTAATGTATGTAATGTAATTCAAACAACAAAGTTAACGCTGTGAATGATCATTGATTGACATGCTCAATATGAGGTAATGTCGTCATCATATGTATTTATAGAAGTACGTGTTTAATTTAACATATTCTCATAATATTGTGGAACCTCCAAATACTCTTTGCTGATTTCTCACAACTCATAATTCAAGAACGTATTGTGGTCATGCAGCACTTAATTTCTATTATAATTTTTATCGCCAGGTGTAACACGACAAGTGGGTGACGCACTCCAGCTAGAGAGATCGCAACGAGCTGGCAGAGTTGTAAGCATCGGTATAGCACCATGGGGCATTGTGGAAGGAGCCAACGAGCTTATTGGAAAAGGAAGGGATGTGCCCTACCACGCAATAGCTTCACCAAGGTAAAGGACTTTTAAATAACTTGAAAAATTAACCGATTTAGGGTTAACAATACGCGAATGATGCCTCTGGTGTTGCAAGATCCTTTAAATCGTCCTCAACGCAGTCCTCCTTGGAAACCATCGTGACTAATTCCCGATGAATTCGTAACAATGGGATAACTAAATGATCTATCTTCTTTCTCCTCTATCATACTTTGCTAGTGTATACCGATAGCGCAGGCGAGAATACTAATCCATTTACATCTCAAAAAAAAATTACACAATGATGATACTTCGTCATCATATGGGAAATTCTCTTAACTAATTGTTACTTTTCTCAATTACAACCTGGGGTCTACCATAAAATGAATTCCAAATTTTCTGACTAAGTTTCGTATTTTTGTTCATCTCGAAATTAACCCTCTAAATGGAACTAAACGTTTCGTTCGTCATAAATCCTACCATAAAAAGCCAAAGGAACGACATTTTAACATTTTTAAAATTTTTAAACGGTATGTATTATATAATTTTAACATCATATTTGTATTTTGTTCAGTTCCGAAATTTGAGAAAACATTTCATGGTAGGCCCCTGCTCACTGTGTTCTTTTACTAATCCGCAACAGCTTCCAAAAACATTCTAGAAAGTTTATTATAACATTTTTTAATCCTATTTTTGTCCCATCCGTGCTAGGGAAATAAACGTTTCAACAACGTTTTAGACGACATCACGTAAATACGAATATATCTATAGAATAACCTTAATAACGCCCTGATTTCACACGCTTTATGGAAATTAGATTCAATACCACCAATAAGATAAACGTATGAAACTTCTAAATTGACTCAAACTGGTGATCGTAAATACATTTCAAAGATTACTTCTTGCAAGATTTGTTTCTTCTAATGAAGACTTGTTCCAAATCTCAATTTTAATCAGTAATCCTTATAAAAATATAATTTTAGTTAGTTAAATGAACTTACCATTTTGCACTTTTTCATTAGAGTTATTGCTCTAACTTCAATATTATTCAACATATCTGGAGTAATGAATAAAAACAACAAATGATTTAGTCTTTTATATTTTAACTTAATTACATTTCGCATAATCAGTTATAATAAAAATATATCTTAACCATCTTGTTTGAACGGATCAGTCGTAGTCAATACAGTGGAAGAATTAAGTCCATTCATCTGAGCATGGAAGAGTACGTCGTTGATCAACTTCTCAGCTAATATGCTCACGTTGGTCGGAAGATTGCGAAGCTTTGCAGCTACATTGACACCTGAAGAACAGAAAAAGATTTTAATCTATTTGAAGCAGAGAAGGGTGCACATACTGGTGATTGTGTCGACGCTTTTAATATACAAACACATATTTTATTATATGACAATATATATAAAAATAAATAAATAAATATAGTAACTGACCTGATGAAATAATTAGAAGCATTTGTCGACTATTATCGCTGCAGCAAATGTAATACAGTATTTTCCTTCACATGATAATTAGTCGGATATTTAAATCCATAAACCTTGTCGGCATCAGTTACATTAAGACTCACAACCTTTGGGGTTTATATGCTCCGAGTTGTATACTATTAGGCCTTAATACTCCCATTTTCAGAACGATAGCGAATAAAAAATTCTATAAATATATATATACAGATTAGCTATATCCTGCAGCTTCGGTCGTGTGAATCAGGATATAAAGTATTCTATATTTCATGCAAAAGAGCAACAAAAATCCATCTCTACACCCTCACAAACATTCGCATTTATAATAGTAGGAATATTAAAGATAAACTTTTCTGCATTTGAAGCCCTAATTCTTCATTACACTCTATGCACTGCTTGGGAATATTTGCAAGTTATAAATCAAGCTTAACTATACTGGAAGGATTATTTAGTGTGCAACAAGCTAATTAAGTCCCCTAGTCCTCTAGTGCATCGTTCTCATAAATGCTCGGTAAGCAAGCTCCGAGCAGTGCACCTGCAGATGTTCAACGGTAACTAATGTGCTTACTCTGTATTTAAAGTTTGGTAAATTTAAACTATCATTTCATATTTAAATTGTAATATAACAGTGTTTTGAACAACACACTGCAGTGATTGCCCAAAACAATTCTGTGAATTAATGAAAAGAAATACACAGAATATAAATTAAAAGGTACAATTAAAACTTTATACACCCACATATTATGAGAAACAACCGTCCTTTGTGTGTTAAAGTGGATTTAGGTCAAATAAATAATGTATAAAAGTGTTTGTTAATGCAGTTGAGTAACTAAAGAATACTCTTAGTCTAGAATATTTTAAACTTCCTCGTTTTGTCTAAAATCCGTACTTAATATATTAAATCTGCATTTAGATAAAAATATTTTTTTTTTCAATTCATATGCTACTATTGTATATATATATATATATATATATATATATATATATATATATATATATATATATATATATATATATATAACTTATATTAATTTAAGCAAAGACTATTATTACTATTATTATATTATATTCAATCAGTTCTTACCACAGATGCATTTCTGCGGTAACCATAAACATCCCTCCACAAGTTCTTACCTATAGCGTCGTATTCGTCTTCTATCTCTGTCCATGGTCGTTTTCCATTTTTATTCTGATCCTCTTCAAAGGCATATGGTTTTGAAGTGGATGGACTTTCTGAGACTTCAACCATGGTATTATATTCTATTGGATATGTCTGTGTTTCGAACGACTGTTCCTCATTATCTATGACTTCTTCTTCCTCAGATTCCTTTAAAAATAAAGGCATAAATAATAATAATTGTGAATATTTCAAAATATTACCAAACTCCTGCAGTTTTAACATTTTCAAATACATGAGAAAATTCCAAAACAGATCGGACTATATCTTTTACAATCATATACGTAAAATTACTTTACTTTGACAGTAGTACATAGACATTAGACATTTCGATATTTGTTTGTAATATACAGATAATGCAAACAAATACTACATATTAAATCATCGCATCATCATTATCGCAGCCATTAACTGACCACTGATGAACGTAGCTCTCCCTTTTGAAGCCTCATACACAACGGTCCTGAGCTACCTGCATCCACTGACTCCCTGCAATGCATTTGAACTCGTCGCTCCATTCAGTGAGGATCATTTTATACTGCGTTTGCCTGTACGAGATCGCCACGCAAGACCCTTTTCTATCTTTCTTTCTCCATCGGTTCTTAGAGAAATATACTTCCCGTATGATGAGTTTAATCTTACAAAGAATATCTTCTGGCAAACCTTTATACACAATTTTATTAAATTATTGTAATGCATTATAAACAAAGAAACATTATATAAATCGATTCCATACCGTGTATTAAAATGAATGATAAATTATATTATATTGTCCGTTGAGTTTTTTTTCGTAAGAAGATTATATACAGTCAACTTAGTAAAGCTATTAAAAGCTTCCTAACAAAAACTAAACAAAAGATAAACCTTAAGAGGCTCTATTTAAATTATGGTGGTATACACTCTTTAGTTAGAAGTTGTAAATAAAAAAGTACTCTGTTATAACTCAAAATTAATGTAGATTAATATTTGGCTTAAGTAAGATAAATAAAAATAAAATTATAAAACAGCATAGAACAAAAATTGTGCTTCTATTTTCCCCGTTTTAGGAATGAACTTGGAAGACAAATGGCGGTGTATAACCACGTCTGTCGACGACACTTCACATTTTCGAAAATTATGTATTTTAAAGGACCCGTTAAAGAATATTTCCAATTTGTTATGATCAAAGCCCGTATTCCAGCATATCCAACGACTACGACCCGAGCGCCTTGATCAAACTTAACTCCACGCCATTATCTTGAGCCTTATAGCATTAGTTTAAACCTTAAAGGAATCGTAATGGCTTTAACCATCAGAATTTGAACAATTTTATACTCAATATCATACGAGATAGAAATTTAAAACATAAAATAAAAAAAATATGGGTACATATGTACCCATATTTTTTTTTTACCTATATAGGTTAATTTTTTGTCACTTTTGGGAAAACAAAAAGTTTTCTATTACTGCTAATAACTTCATGATATTGAAGTTTTTTTTTTTTTATATCACAAAGGTGGCAAACAAGCCTACAGCCTGTCTGATGGTAAACAGTCACTGTAGCCTATGGACGCCTGCAACACCAGGGGTGTAATGTGCGCGTTGCCGACCCTAAAAAAACCTTAATATTCTCTTTTTGAAGAACCTCATACGATAGTCTTTGGGAAAACCTCGGCAGGGAGCTTAGTCCACAGTCTGAGCATTCGTGGGACAAAATTTCTCTGAAGCCGCACTGTAGGTGATTTCTTGCCTTTACTGATAATACAGATCCATTAAACATCCATCCTTATTGTTTCAGATCAAAATTAGCTGTGCTTAACAACAGACACGCATATTTCCTATTAGTAGACAACGGGTCCGTCGGTCGATATGGAGCGGAGATTGTTCTTCGAAGAAAACTTGAGAAGTACATTGCGGCGCAAAAACTACATCCATGTAAGTAGATAGATAGATACTCTTTATTGTTTCTTCCAAGACATTACAATACATAGTAAACTCATTATAGATATAAACAATTACAAGAGATGATCGCAGTGAGAAAACAATGGACGGCCTTATCGCTAAAAACGATTTCTTCCAGGCAATCTTTGGATGAAGAAAAGTAATTATAAAGTTCTTAAATTTTATAATTACATACACACAGACACACAAACATAAGTAGCTTTAATCAAATCAATATGTATTGCAGATATGACGGAGTTAACATAGTGTGGTGAATTAATGCGTTATACTTTGAAATGCAAATTCTTAAAATATTGATTTTGTTTGCAAAATTATATTTTACTTCATCTTTTGACGTTATCGCTGTCACGATAAGTAAATGTGACATTATATATGTTAAATGCTATAACTAGTTAGCAAGTTAGCTAGGTACTAGCTCATTTAGTAAAGAATATTTATATTTAAGTAATGCGTAATTAAACCGTTCCTTTTGGCAGTCTATGTGGGAGGCCAAGAGGAACGCTAGTGCCCATCCTTCTCTGTCCCTTAGTCGGCTCTTACAACACCCACGGGAAAGGAACGGGTTGCCTATTCTATGCCGGGACCACACGGCTAATTGTGCAATTAGACCTTAATAATTAAATGTAATCATTGATGCTTTTTGGTGTGTTCTCATATGATAGTTAAGTTTCAAACTTAGTTTTGAATTCTTTTTATGTACCTACTGAACACATAAGGCTTATACTGATTCAAGTGGGAGGGCACTCCTCACAAATAGTAGGCGCTTCCACGCATACTAATAAAGGTGGAAACAAATAAAATAACAATAATAGAAAGACTGATTACGCAGTACACCTGATTCAAATAATGGAAGTGTGCAAAATTTGTTTTGCAGTTTCTACCGAGTTTCTTTGATCGGTAGTAAGTACCTTGTCCGTGTGGTCCTGGCATAGAATAGGCCACCTCTTTTTTACCTGTGGGTGTAGTAAAAGGCGACTAAAGAAACTTAATAGTAGAGGGACAGGCTGCAGCGTCTCCCTAAAAATATCTCTAAAAGCCTAATCGCGGTTGCCAACCCGCCTACTAAGCGGTGCAACTATTGGCAAAACCCTCCAAGGAAAAGCTTATGTCCAGCAGTGGACAGTTAAAAGTTGGTATGAAGAAGTACCTTGTAAAATATTTAACTCTATCAAAGTTTATATGTAATTAATGTACTAAGTGTTCTTAATTTCAAAATAACATTCAAGTCTAGAGAAATACATGTAACAGAATGTGATAATTTTAAATAAATTCTGAATATTTCACAAAAGTACATATATAGTTTAAATATAATATAATAGAACATGTTACTACAGATATCTATTTACCATTCTAAGTTGTATAAAAAAACTCAGATAATTACCTCATATTGTATAAATTTATCCAAAGCAATTATAGATAATAACAGATATAAAATCATATCTAATAAGCAAACGTTCAATTTATATTCTACATTGATTTGATAAAGCTATCAAATATGTGTTGTACATTTCCAAAGATATGTAACAATTTTGACTTTTAATAACAAGCGAAAGAGTTTATAATTGTTCGCAGACTTCTGTGTACGAGTATAAGCAACAATAAAACCTTTACATCGGCGTTACTGTAAACCTAAGAACAAGGCTGTAAACACACTCTGTAAAAAGACTTGTCAAACCAGTTTAATTTGTCAAAAAATTACATTGCGATGAATATAAAATTCCAGACAATATTTTTACATATAAGACTTGGCAGCATGGTCTCTGACCTTAGCCTGTTCTGAGGAACGAACAACCCAAAAAAAATTATGTACATACATTCGTATTTGGAATAATATCTACTGCATTACTTAAAGTTAATAGTTAATTCATCTTGAACTTGTATTTAGTATATTGCTTAGTTCGTCTCAGGTGTCTAGTAATGGAGTGTAGGTAGTAATGTATTGTCAGTTCTCCATGAATTGTGAATGAAATACAATGGTGTGAACTACGCGCAAATTACGATGAACGCTTGCTTACTTACTTGTTCGGTCGGAGTGGTGTCAGTTTTTATCTTGTGATTGCTCCCTTCCTCTTTGAACACAAATGAAAATAAGTCGTAATACCATAGCTGTGGGGTGTATATTTCATCATCGCTAGTCGCCTTCCGCCGGCTGTCGAGTACTCGTTTGTGTTCACGGCGTACGCATGCTCGCAAGCTCTCGATTTTTCTGAGCACGTGAACCCTAGTCGCGCCTGGATCGTATTCACGTACTAATTCTGTTAGTTTCGAGACCGCATCGTGTCTTTTCTGTTTGTTTTTGTACAAAACAGATTGTCGGTCCCAGAGGCAGGCTTGTTCTTTGTATAATAGGATGAATTTCTTCAGTAATTTGCGGGGAAATACAACGTTGTTGAAGTCCGTCATGATGCTAGCTCGGCGCGTTCGGCAAGCGGCGCGGCGCGCAGGTCACTGAACGTGTTGGGTCGGACCCGGCCGATGCGCGCGTCGCGTGCGGAGAGCGGTGTGACGCGGCTGGATCCCGTCCTCCCTCCCTGTCTGACACGAGCCACTGCGTTTTATGCGGTTTTTGTCTATGGTGTCTATATTAATATAGGTCCTGCACAAATTGCAGTACGATACATATGTCGTTTGTCCTGAGTTTTCACTACAACAGTTGTCATTACCGAGATTATTAAAATTTAAACTCTTTTAAGATATTCTGTTTTTTATACAATTTAGAATGGCAAACAAGCTGACGGTCCACCTGATGGAAAATGGTAAGCGTTACCTATAGACATGAGTAGTACCATGGACATAACAGAGTATACTGTTTCGCCCATGATACCTTCCTATGCGTTGCCATTCCTGAGGACTCAGGTGTTATTCCTCTGTACCCAGTATACTCTGTACCCTTTAAACCGAAATACAGCCATGCAAACAACTGCTTCACGGTAGAAACACAAATGGCACAAAGGTACCCAAGCAATCGACTTTTGTACAAAGTCTCCCTCCTTCTAATTTAATTTTATCAAGAGTCTTTTAATTATATTTTATCAATAGTTAGGAAAATAAAAATTTTACTTACCTCATTAAAGCTGAGGTAAATGAACCGTCTAAGTAAGTAGCTATCAACCACATACATCTTATTATTTAATTAGCTATTAACGGTTTACTGCTGAGCACGGGCCTCCTTCTATTGGGGGGTTTGTCAATAGTTGCCACACTCGGCAACCGCAGTTACCTTTTGATGTTAAAAATTAAAAAGGAACGCTACTGCCTATCCCTCGACCTTTAAGTTCCCTTAGTCATCTCTTACGACACCCATAATAAAGAAAGGGGTGGCCCAATCTATGCCTTGACCACGCGGCAATCTAATATAGATACATATTCATATTGTAATACCTATTTAATTAGTAAATATTAAAATCTTTATCTTTTAATATTTTCTACTGTTGCTTATCGATGTTGACTAGTAGCTCCTTGCCAAAGACTTAAAAAATAAAAAATATATAAACGAGTATATTTATGGTGATATATATATATGAACAATGGATACCTATCATTATATTTATTCTTAGTAAAATTTAATACCAACGGAATCCTTCAGTTTGATAGCCTTTTTTTTATTTATTTCGAATTAGGTACACCAACAGTATACATATTATACATAAATTAAAATAAAAATTTTTATATAGTATGCTGATATGCATACCCATAGCAGGCGTACACAACATTGACTACAGATTACATGCATATAAATGTCATAATATAAGTAATATAATAAATTAAATTTACAATTACATATTCTTTATTACAAAATTCAATTAAATATAAAACAAGACTGGGCAATAGCCTTGCGATTTGATGAGTAATGAATTAATGCAGTTTTAAACGATAGCTAATTTATATCCATAATTATAATAAAGGCATGAAAATGGTGATGGTGATGAATGTGTATCCATAAATTAACCTACTATACCTATATTCTTTTATATATAAATCTTAGATTATTTAGATAGAGCATCGAGTCTTAAAAACGAGTCGACTTTTTGTCAGCTAATTGTCAAATTAGCTGACTCGGTTTTTTTAATAGTGTTCTATATACTTACGCACATAATGTATCTTGACATATCTGTAATTAATTATGTAATAAATAAAAAAAATATGCATTAAAAAGGTGCAATAATTATAAAACAAAATAAATATAGACGTTATAAAGGAATTACTCATAACTATTTATCACGTAAAATTGTATGAAAAAGTTGACTCGCTTTCTCGAAGCATTGCAGCAGTGTATGAAGAGACTGTACCTAATAATAAACACATCATTTATATAAAATAATGAAGATAATTATTTTAAACCAAGTTATGCAGAAAACCGACATATTACCTTGATAGTCTAAAAAATATGGCTGTTTTCATACTCGTATGATGGCTGTAATTTTATTAACTAATTATTTTCTAATTTAATATCCTATAATCCCTTTTTATAGGGAAAGTTACATTTATAGCTTAGATTAGGTAGCTAAGCTAATTATTTCGACAGGAGGAAACTCTTGAATTTCAAAGAAGAATTAATCCGATTTAAAATTACCAAGTTAATGGATTGTGAAAGTAAGCTCTTTTAATTAATGATATTAATTAATAAAATTTAATTCGTTCGCATAAATATTGCGTAATATATGTACAAACATAAAACATTTCCTCATTTTATAATATTTATCTATAATAAAATAATAAATATACAGGTATTTTACTTTTAAACCGGAAATCGAACTTGGAAACTCTGAGGGAGATCACTGCTCAAAGGAGAAATTAAAAAGTAAATATTCTATTTCTTTCCAATTCCATATTAATAATTTCATCTTAATTCCCTTCTTTGATATCAAATAAATATTTATATCAAAATTTGAGATAAACATAAATAATATAAAAGATATGAATTTATACTGATTTTTCTAAACAAATACAATTTACGGGTCCCGAGAGGAACGCCCATTTCAAAGGTCGCTTATGATTTTAAATAAGAAAATGGGCTTTGCTTATTTCGAACTGGCGAAGTAAGGCCATATTCAGTAAATTATATCTGGCATTTTTATTAAAAATAACGTATTGTAAATAATAAATAGGTCTTTCATATTCTTATAAAAAGATTGTAATTGAGAATTTACCAGAAATAAAAATAATATACATATCAATTGCATATGCTTATCAGAATCAGAATTGGTGATATAATCGCGTAACACCATAGCCATAAAAAGTACGAAAAATTAAAAACTTTCTTTTCGGTGTTACTTCAAAAAATTTTAAAAATATGTGAAGTGCTAGTAGTAGTAGATCTAGCATGTACGTTATTATTTTTTCTCTATTATGTTTTTACATTTCAAACCTATATACTTTATAATCTAAGTCTTATACTGTGTAGTGTCGTTAGTACAGATACAGTTGTATTTTTTCGAAAATTAATTTTTTTTATAATATTTTTTTTTCTAAGAAAAAATAATATTGTTTGAGACTTTATTGTTGAATACTAACACTAATTTTAACGGCCAGGTTATTTTAAATAAAATACTATGCAATGAAATACATAATAAGCGTACTTGACTCCCACTTGCCAAGTCTATTGTGTACTATATAATTTAAGAATGTGTTTCACCTAAAATCCGATATCAATTGTGCCAAAACCAGATATTTTAATATCAAAACTAAACTACTGAATCGGTTTAAATAAAATTTCCATAAGATCAATCTGTACTTACAGATTACCAGAGGGAGACTTTGTACAAAAGTCAATTGCTTGGGTACCTCTGTCCCATTCGTGTTTCAACCGTGAAGCAGTTGTGTTTGCATGGCTGTGTTTCGGTTTAAAGGGTGGGATATGGCGTGAATTTACTGGGTACAGAGGAATAACACCTGAGTCCTCAGGAATGGCAACGCATGGGGGTATCATTGGCGAAACAGTATACTCTGTTATGTCCATGGTACTGCTCATGTCTATAGTCGACGGTTACCACTTTCCATCAGGTGGGCCGTCAGCTTGTTTGCCATGCTAAGTTGTATAAAAAAAATTATTACAAAATAAATTCAGATAAAAAAAGAATTTCCCAAATCGGTTTATTAGTGACGGAGTTATAAGGTGCATATAACAAGCATAAAAAAATAATCAACCGATTTCAGTAACAAAGGATCTCTGAAGTCGGTTGAAAATACGAGTATACCTCTCGATCATTATGGGAAATTGGGCTTTGAATAAAAACAAGCTCTCCAATATTATTTTATATTGGTGTTCTCTACTGTGCTACTAGGAAGTCAATGCAAGTCAGCTCTCTAGCGCATAGAAGTATCGTTCGAAAAAGAGTGGGGCGGTGACGTAGCAAAGTGAAAGTTAAATACATGAGTCATTCAATATCAGTCTTTAGTCAAATGAGAGATTAATTTTTGCACATTAATTTAAATAATATCAACACGCCCCCTCAAAAATTAATCTTTACTTACATTCATTATCATTAACCTTAAACAATCATATACAATCACAATTATATAATATAAACAGATCACATGTGACTTCCTAGTAATTGCTGGGAAAAATACAAAACATGGTCCAACATTTGTTGCTTTGGATTAGGGAAACCCAGAAAAACCTAATCAGACCATTAATATCTTAATAAACAAATTACAATTTATTGTTTATACATTTTACAATAATTATATAATAAATTACTCTAAGCCTATTTTGGTTCTCATTTGCTGAAAACTGATCGCTGGCAACGGCTTAGTTAGAACATCAGCTAGTTGTTGACCTGTGGGAATGTAATTTAATTTTATTACATTTTTCTCAATCTGCTCTCTGGAAAAATGATATTTAATGTCAATATGTTTTGACCGTTTATGGTTGGTTGGATTATTTGCAATACTAATGCAACCATTATTATCTTCGTAAATAATAATAGGATTTGTGATATTTATATTTATGCTTATTGCCAGAGACTTAAGCCACAATGCTTCTCTAACAGCTTCATACAATGCCATGTATTCAGCCTCAGTAGACGAGGCTGCCACTGACATTTGTCTCTTTGTACTCCAGGTTATTGTACACTGCTCAAATAATTTAAATAAATAACCTGTAGTACTTTTCCTATTACTACTATCACTACCTCCCCAATCAGAGTCCACATACCCACACAAAATATTATCATAGTTGCACCTTTTATAAGTTAACTTTAAATCAATTGTCCCTTTCAAATACCTAAGTACTCTCTTTAGACATAACCACAGCTCTTTATTATTTTTATTTGTATACCTACTCAATATATTGATACTCGTACTTAAATCTGGACGAGTACATAACATGATATACATCAAACAACCTATAACGTTTCTACAAGGTGCATTATATTTATTTTCACAGTTTAATGCCTCATAATTTAACTTATTTTCCAAAGGTGTACTGACAGGCTTACAATCCTGCATATTAAATTTATTTA